ATGTATGTGTCATTCAAGATATATGCAAGAATAAGAGATTTAATCAAGAATGCATGAAGGAAACACTGTTTTAAATTTTCTGTGTATTACTTGTCTGGTGAAGAAGAGAATTACCTATGTAGAGATACTGCTTGCAGCCAATGATGCATGAAATTTTTTGTATAAGATGATGTTATGGGGTAGGACTGGATAAGTCTGACTTCTTCCTACTCCATTCAAACATGTACTAGGTATAAGCAAAATGATTCTGGATTAGCATTGGTTGGATTTGTGTAATTATGTGTGTGCTGATGTCATTTGTTCTGCATGTTTGAAAGAATAAATCAAATTAAAAAAAAATCAAAAATCAATTGAATTTGATGACAAAATCAGGGGCAATCAGTTTTGAATTAAGGTTAAAAAAAACCCCAGTGTTGTTCCTCTGGATTATGTTTTCACTTACAGTGGGACCGAAATAACCTGCAGCTGTAATCTACGAATTTATGAATTCTCCAGTAGGTCCCATTGTGGTTCTCACTTTATCCAAAATTTATTTTGACAAATCATGACTGATGTACAGCTGAGGTAAGATATCAGTCTATCAGGAGAAACATTTTCCAATAAACTCATTTAGTCCTACTTTTAAACTAGCTTCAATGTAAATACATTGCAATGCAAAATGAATTACACTTTACTTTTATAAAAACAACAACAACAACAACTTTACTTTCTTGTCCTTGGTAGTAATACACATTTCAGATATAAAAAGAGCCATAGGTATGAAAATAGCATGGGCATAAGAAATAGACTGTAGCTGCTGGAGTCGAAGGAGCAATACCATCAGAACAACCCCACTCAGAGGACACCATGCTGTCGAGGAGTACATTCTCAACACTTTCACTTGACTCTACCACTGAGTAATGAGATATCTATGTTACACTGAAGCGACAAATATGAAAAGACAAAGCAGAGAAAGTATACAGTTGACTATTGTGTATACAGTAAGTTAGATAGGAGATAATACATGTCAACAGAAATATGATTTACCACTGCTGGAATACACTGGAGATATAGCAAAAGTCTGGCAACAGAATGAAAGCTTGTGGTAGAAACCCACGCTATGCACTGCAGCGGCCATGCCCATCAAAGTCCTCTTTATAGCAAGATTTCTGCCACAAGGAATGCAACAATGAATTAAATGACACAAACCGTTTTTGAGCAGGTCAGGCTTATTATTTCTGTCACACTCATAGCTTCTGTTCAAATAACACTTCACAGTACTGGACTGAATATGTGAAGACCAAAGCTGTATCTTAAAAAAAAAAAAACTCTCAAAGCACAACGATTTCCTCAAACATGATATTAACTATTAGAGAATAAACTGAAACAGAAGTGTCTTTGGTTAATTCATCACAATGATATTTACTGAATGTGGTTTAGGGTCAGTGCAGTGTTTACACTGCATATATTGTTCTTCAAGTCACCAAAACTGCACTCTGAAAATTCTGTCTGTTTAAATGACAAAAATGTCCAAATCACAAGAAGAACTGTCTTTGCAAAGAGTTTATGTAGTTAGTGACAGAAACGTTTCATGTCTGAACATCTATCCCTCAGATGCCCCCTCTGCAAAAGTCTTGCTGATCCATGGCACAGATGACATGGTACCCAGAGCTGGTTTATTGGTTCAGTCTGGAGCCACATACATGCTCATATTGGCCTGGGCTCAAATCCCAGTTTGAATCCATTCCTGTGTTTGCCATCTTTGCTTTCCTAGTGTCAGGAAAGATAATAGCAAAAAATGAGGACTGTCCAATTGGAAAACCATGATGGAAAGGGAAGGTCAAACTCATGCTTTTTATATTTCAAATGGCACATACAGTAGAGATCAGTGCTGATATCCAATGGGAAATGAGTTTTCTCGTTTTAACGGCAAACTGAATTTGTTTTGTCCAAATCTGCCATTGTGCTAAATAAAATCCAAACTTTGTACATCATGGGGATCCATGAATGTTCTGTACTTCATTTTATTTTTTTAATTAACCATATTAAAACAATATTTCTGTGCAAAATGGAAATTTGTCCTAATAAAATTGCTTAACAGCCATCTGACAAACGTTTATATAAAGTAGCAAAAATAAAAACTTTGCAAACTTCCAAAGACTGTAAAGCCATGATCACAATAACTATTGCGTCTTTGACTTATTGATTTAAATGGTGCAAGAACGTTCTTATGTGTGTTGTTGCTGTGTTTTAGACAGTATTGCCTGATAATACAGAGTGATGACTGACAGTCAGTATGATTTTAACAGTCAGGGCCCATTTGATAGAATACACACTTACAAACGGTGCATCCTGGTGACTCCGCGGGTGAAGATGAACCAGCTAGAGAACAGTGTCCTTTCTCAGTTGACTGATTCAAATGCACCAAAAAGTGCATGCTCTTTGAATTTAAATCACTCTTCAGACCAACGTAGAAATGCAAGAGTTGATGTAAAGTAGAACACCACTCAGAATACCTTATTGCATCACCCTTCATTTGTTAGCAGAACACTAACATCTAGGCTCCACAGAGTAATGAATAACAAGCACTGAAAAGCAAAAACTGATGTCAAATGTGCTATAAAACAACGGTTTTACATACGGAATGCCACATGTGGGGGTTTATTTTTTGTGGTTATCATCTGGTTACTAGTATAAATGCCAAAGATAACCAGAAAGACAAGAAATGCTGTCAGGATGTTGTGTTTGTTGAGGATGGGCAGGTGCACTCATATGTGTGGTTGCATCCATTTTCATTCAGCAACTTGTTTGTCTGCAAGCACAGTAGGCGGCACTTTACACCAGTGCTGGCGCAGTTTACTGTTTACCTCCTACACATCTACTGCACACCGCCACAGGATCAACCATGGCAATCATTAAATTATACACACACACACACACACACACACACACACACACACACACACACACACACACACACACACACACACACACACACTGTATATCTATATATCGGTATTTATATACTGTATACCTATATACCATGTTTCATGTTCTTCTTAAGGTTTCCCCCACCATACTGTACTTTATATGCAGTATCATAATATATTAATACAACCAATTTATGGTTGTTCGGACAAGCCTGAAAACATAAACGAAAGGGCACATATGTGAAATATTTGGCACACACATAGCAAATATAATAAAAAGAAAACAGCTCAAAACAGGGATATAAAAGTTATACTTAAGTAGACTGCCCAAGGTAAAGAGTAGTCTTTGTTGAAGTGAGGTCTTCACCACGCTGAGTTTATTATCAGAGGTAAATATGTATTTCTGGTGTTCATCTCAGTTCCCAGCGGGCTACACTAAGGCAATTCAATGGTTGCTAATTTCAAGTCTAAACACAGGGAAATTAAATTATTATTCAAACAGTCCATATTAAAACAATCATTTTATCTCCTAACATATTGCAACTTATTCAGGGTAATGTTTAATTGCCTATTGCATGCAAACAAGAGTCAATGGCCAAGGAGAGATGGGGGTCCTAATGAGTGGGATTATTATATTGATTATTATTTGGTGCCTCCAGTAATGTACTAATGGAAACCATTATACTTAATATGGGCATCCAAAGGAAAATAACTCTGGTGTCACTGTTAGTTCCTGTTCATCTAGTGTGTGTCAAGAGCTCTGGCAAGAAATGGCTACTGTACAAAACCAGTACATAGTGTGAATATGTGTGACATCAAGAAAAATAACACTTGAATTACACAGATGGCAGCCTTTGTTCCCTGGGTGTTTTATCTCAAAGGGCACCAGTCTGTGACAACATGGTTGGTCAACATAACTAACTCCTTTGTTACATCTACTGTCTACACTTAGTGTATATTTAATCCAAGATTTCTTTTCTTTACAACCCCTAATACCTTTACTGTTGATGTACCATATGTGACTCAGATCAATCAATAAACTACTCACTGATCACATTTCTCTTAAAAAAATATTTTAACATTTTGGGAATATGCCTATTCACTTTTTTTTGGTTACTCAGATTAGATGAGAAGATTAATATTACATGCTAGATATTAAGCTACAGCTAGCAGCTAGGTTTCTTAGCTTAGCATAAAGACTGTAAACCTGGGGAAAGAGCTGGCCTGCCTCTGTCCAACGGTCAAAAATGATACTCAGTGAACATATTTTATCTTGTTTGTTAAATCCACACTAAGGTTAAAGTGCTGGTAGGCTAATATTATTACATTTAGACAAAGCCATGCTAGGTCTTAGCTCCTCCTTGTATTTTTGATGCTAAACTAAGCCCCCTGGCTGCTTGCCATAGCTCTATATCTATGGACACAAACATAAATGAGATATAAAGCACCATTAAAGCCATTAAAGGACTCAACATCCTAAAATGTATAAAAATATGCCAATAAAGCAGTAATGATGGTTTCTGCTTTAACCGTATCCTGATGTTCTCTTCCCTGGAAACCCACTTATTTATTACGCCTTATAGGGGTATTAATAGAGTTTTAAGCAGGAGGAATGAGCCAAGCCTAATGGTGGAAAGTCAGTATAAAGTGATAAGAACCTAATGATTCTTCATGTTGTTGTCACAACAAATGGCTGTTTTATGAATGTGACTCAAAGCTCAGAATGAGAACAGCCAGAAGTCAAAGCCAGGCTCTTTTATTTATTTATTTATTTTTATCAATCATTATTCCCTGATTATCGTAGCAGATAGTATCTACCCCTCCAGAGGAAGGCACTATGAATGGTTTGAATGTCCTTGGATTTTCATCAACTGGATTTGACTGATGGCTGAATAATAGCATGCCGACACATTCCCTACAACACAAGCTACCGTCCTGATTGAAAATACTTTGGGTGCAAAGCACATTTCCTTCCTTATCATTGTGTTGTCATTATGACACAGTCCATCCTGTCCTCCTTCTGTGTACAGCATATCAATGTTGTATTCTCGTACATGAAGTCACATAGACAGAAATCTCTGCTTGGCACAGGCCTGCAGACAGACACCGTCATCTTGGCTGCTTTCATCTCCAGATAAATACTTCAGGCATCACAAAAAAGAATTTTTTATTTTTTTATTATTTTTTTTTTATTAAACTTGAATTTCTTCTGTTAAATTGTGCTGTCCTCCTTTTGAAACCAAACGGGCTCCTGCAGTGTGCTAAAGGTAGAGATAGCCCACCCAGTAGACGACATTGAACAGCAAGAAGGAGGTGGGAAAAAAGACGCGCGAGTATGAGTCAAGATCAAGTAGATCAATGTGGACACGTCCTTTTCTCCAAGCACCTTCTTTACACTCCTCAAAGCAGCAGAAGAAGCTTTTGCAGTCTTTTCCGTCCAGACACTCATAGACACAGGCATCCTCAAAGTCCTGCCAGTACATGGAGTTGTTTAAAGCAATGACAGTGTGTGGAGGTCTCACATCCAGGACAGAGTATTTCTGAAAAGATGAAGAGACAGTCATATAAAAGCACACTGCTAACCTTATACCTAACTTCAGCCTAATCTTAAACCAAGTCATCACTTTAAAATGTAATAATTTATATTTAATTTATATTTTGTAAACAGATTTACGTCCCCACAAAACAGACTACCTGACATTTTTTGTTTGTAAAATTTATTTTTACTTTTAGGTGCATTTTAAAAACACACTGAGTATTCATAAGATGCATTAAATAACATTATTAACGTGCTTTTGGACCAAATAGTTCTAGAAACCTAGTTCTAGGGACTACCCCACTGGGGAGCTCCCCCAAGAACTACATACCTTTACAGGCTTTTTTCTGTTTGCATTTGCACTGCCGAAGCGAGATAACACTATGCCAGTCGACTGTTAGCATTTAGCCAGTAAGCTCACAATGGTAAACAAATAGCGATGTTACCTGTATTTTCTTTATATGTTGCCAATGTTAATTATATAAGGAGCCACTAACCCACTGCAGAGGCTTCTGTTGGTGGACTGCAGCTCCCCGTGCTGCTGGTGATGGCTACTGATCCATAATATTTACATGGCTAACATGGCTTTTACAAAATGGCAGTTAGCGGTGCTGCAGTCAACATACATGTATGTAACCCATGGTTCCTATTGTGCTTGGAGAGTATCTACTCTGACATAGGAGCTAAAAAAGGCTGTCAAAAAGGCATTCTAAGAACTATTATCATTCTCAGTTCCTGCTGTGCGGACACACAACAAAAGGGGTACGTCCAACTGTATGAAACATGCAACTATGAAAAGTGCCTTTAGACCTGCAAACAGCAGACAAACTCTGAAACACTTTAGATTATACAGTATATATGGAGGTGGCTTGACTTAGATGTAGCCAGATGATTTAATTTTAAATACAATTAAAATAAGGCCATTTAGAATGAACAGCTAAAGCTTTTGGTGTCACACTTCAGACTGCAGTACACTAATGCTGGGAAAGTCACTTGTTTTAAATGCCTGACAGTAACAGATGAGAGCTTTGGTTTTCTACACAAAACATGAGGTGACAATCTGCGTTCCCCTCTCAGTTGTTGATGGGCTAGAAAAGGCCTGTCTTGGAGGCTTGTTCAGACTGATGTAGTGTCCCTTAAAATAGTAACAGTCTTATCATAAGAGCTTATAAAGGGCAGCATCACATCATCTCAACACTGAAAGGTTGTCTCATCTCCATCTTGTCATAACAAATCAAAGCACAATCAAAGAAAAGCTACTTTAGTAAGAGACAGTGATCCTGTACATATGACTCTACATTTTATCATTTCTTCCAACTATTAGGTGATTTTATGGAAGATTGCTGCAAGAATATGAATACATCTGTATAAAATGGATTAAAGACCAACATACCGATCTTTTAGGTTCCATGCAGCTGGGCCTTCGAGCACTGTATGAGTAGTAATTTAATGTTGCATACTCCATCAGAGCAGCAAAGACAAACAGGAAGCAGACAGTGACAAAAAGGTCCATGGCAGTGACATAAGACACCCTGGGTAGTGATGTCCTGGCCACAGTACTGAGAGTGGTCATAGTCAGAACTGTGGTTATACCTGAAGGACAGAAGAAAAGACATTCATCTTAGGCACTGCTGCTCACATGCAGTGATGGAAACCCACAAGGTTTTCTGGATCTATTGCATTTTCTGATTGTTTGCGACAGTGAACATCTGCACTGTTTCCTATGAGGAAGCTTAAGCTAATGCTGGTCTTGCAAATACTGAACTCTTTAGTTATTTCACTTTTGATTTAAAGTCACAGCTGTCTCACTGATGAAATCTGAGACCCAATCAGGCAAAGTGTGCAGAAAGAACACACACAATAAAATCTCATTATTGTTTGAATGTAAAGTCAAAATGTAACAGCTCAACAGAAGACAAGCAGGAGTAGGATGACAAAATAAGTGGATTCTGGTCAGTGAAAACACTGACCAATCTGTGCTGTCTTTGCTTCCAGATCCTTGTTGATCACATTAAACTCTGGAACACATGAGAAGCGCTTCAGTTTTGTTTGGTCTTAGACTTGAGTCCAAGTAAAGAAAGCGGATAACATGATGATCCTGTTGACTACAGTGAGCTCAAGTCTCAGGAACAAACTGGCCAGTTTTTTTTTTTCTTCAGATGAGTTAACTGCTTAATCACTTAAGGGTGGCATGAGCTGTCAACACAACGTGGCTTCATCATCTAGTGCAAATGTTAGCATGCTTGTGTTCCAACTAAAATTGTGAATGTTGTAAGCATTTCCTGCTAAACAACAGCATGTTAGAAGTGTTGAAGTGAGCATGTTAGCATGCTTAACATTTAGCTCCATGATCTCCTCTGTCAAAGTACATCCACATAAAGCCACTACAATGGCTGTAGTCTCTAACCCCTTGTTTCCACTGGATGTGGCTGCATTGCGTTCCGTCTGGAAAGCGGTTTTGATCCGTCCGCTGTGCAGCTTCATCCCCCACCTGGTCTGTCTGCAGAGCGTCTGCAGTACAGCTCGTTGTCGTGCTGGTTTTTGATTTTTGTGTTACTTATTTATCTACTTTATATTTAATCTGTATTTTGTGGCTTTCATGTGGACGGCAAAGTAAGAATTTCATTATACAGGGAAACACGTTTCCTAACTGTGCATATGACAAATAAACACTTTGACCTTGACCTGATAAATTTAAGGCCAAAATCCGCTCTTCTTTTTGCTCCTTTTTGTCTCCACCACCAACCCTTTAAGTGTTAAATGCTTCAGTGTGTTAACTTTGTCAGCCATTTGGTGCCTCGTAGCTAGTGTTCAGTAAGTTTATCAGAGCTTTTTCACTGAAATCAGCTGCCTGCTGCATCACTGACACCAATGAAAACAATGAGCTGAAAGAAGCTTAAACATTCTGTAGAAGTGAGGGGAACTGCAGACATGAGTGATAATTCTTAGTGGATTCATCTGTATAACTGACCCCTGTCACATTAAACATAGTCATCTGGTCCATTGTTGATATAAAATTATTAATTAGTTCAGCTTTAAGGTTCCCTGGAGTACTGCATGTAAAAGCACTTGACATCTTTTTGTGATTATTTATAATAAAAGTAACTTTATCTTAAAAGTATTACTTGCTGTAGGAGCAAATTTAGGAGCTAAAACATTTTCAAACAGCAGTAGATGTCACTCAGACTGACTGACATGACTATTACTCCATCATCTGATTTCATTCTGTCCTCTCTCCCTTCTTTGAACATTATAGAGATGCCTATAAGAGGAAAAAAACATCTGTGACTGTTTCATTGAGGTTCCCATAGTAACAAGCTGGCCCCATCTATTTCAGGCTGATGCCTCACACTTTTCCTTTAGCCTCTGCGTGCCACGCTGATTACCCCTACCTGCCTTCCTCTGATGCTGTGGCACAGATTTGAGGATTTCTGCTGTAAACAACAGAATGAACAGCAGGTTTGGAGATGGGACAACTCTTCAAAGCATTTATCTTTACTGACAGCTTAATGCATATGAAATTGTGAGGTTTGTTATAATGCTGGTATATAATTTATACACAAATGGCTCAATGGTTCAATGCATGTCATCGCTTTCCTAAAAAATAAGCATCTAAACAGTGTGATAATTCGCTACAGAGCCAAGTTTGCACTCAAAAGGTTTGGCACTGTGGACCTCACCCTGGTCCTTTTCTACCTATCCACACTGGTTTGGTTCACCTCTATACCTTTACAGTCAGTCAGCATTTAACATCCACTCATTATCTTGATCCCTTCTCCTAATTTTCATGCATGTAATCCAGATGCTTTAAAGCAAAAATGACAGATTAATGGCATTTGTTATTCATTTTCTTGCTTTGTCTCTTTTGTTTGCTGTGAATGTACAGTACAGTACCAAACACAGTGGCTCTGAGCAGGTGATAGAATAGGAGGGCAGAGTGTGACACTGTGAGGAGCGGCTGATGTATCACCACCGAGGGAGGGCACCGCGTATTAGAGCTGAGCAAGCATCAAAAGTTCATACATGATATTCAGAAGCCAAAAATATAATCTACCACAAAACTGGTTGTTTGCAATTGTACTTCAAAAGAGGCGCACTTACTTCGATTTATTTTTATCCATCTACAAGTTGGAAATTACTGTACTTGTATTTCTACCAAATCCTTAATTATGGGCTTGGGCAGGCACATCCTAAATCATAATTACCTTCACCAAACTGTTGCACAGGACTGTACAACAACAAATAGAGAGCGTGTACAAAAAAAGGGACAAAGCATAACAAAACAGAAGAAACAGATGATGTGACTCCAGTCAAGTGATAAAAAACATATCCACATGGCATAGACAACAGCACATAAAGACGGTGCTATTCAAAGCAAAACATGTTTAAAATGTTGGACTTTCATGTCATTGTTTTCAGTTATAGCTATAGCTAAGGTTTAAAGCAGGTCAGAGCAGTATGTCCAGACATATATAGCATAAATAGTTTGTCCTGGTGTGGATTAGGCCTATGAACTGCACTAAGTTCACAGTACCTAAAGCGGTTCTGGCTGGTGTGGATTCTTTTTTGATCCAGAAGGACACCCAGGACAGGACCACGGTGAGGATGCAAGGGATGTAAGTCTGGATGGTGAAGTAGCCCATTCTTCTACTCAGGTCAAAATACACAGTCATCACCACATAGTCCCCTGTGCAAAAGACAACAGTAGATCCTGATGTGAAACTTACAGACACATGCTAGCCATCACTGGATTAGACATTCTGTTGAACTGTATATACATGAACAGATAAGGATTGAAATGAATTGCTGCACATAACATGAGAACACAGTAGGAAACTGTCATTGAACTCTGTGTAAAGATGTCTAACATCACTATAACATGTTATTAGAACCCTGCTATTAGCATTTATATGCAGTAAATAAACCTTAAATACTTACCAAGCTTACATATCATATATCATATTGAAGCACAAATATGCAGTACCAAGTATGCGGAGCATGATGTGTATAAACAGCTTGAATTAATAGTTCCTTTATAAGACACATTATAATTTTGGATAATTAAAGTTATCAGCTATTTTATACTGCATCATCAATCATTCATTATGTTTATACACCAGTTATATACAATATATTCAAATGACAAGTTATAACTGTTGATAAATACATTATGTAACATGTTGAAATATCCTCATATGTAAGTGTTAAGTGCTAAATGGGGTAAAGCACTGCATGTTGTTTAGTCTGGCTTTGAGTGGCTTGTTGTAATTCATGGAAAAGCCTATATGCAAATGATTTATAGCTTTTTAAAAATATCAGTAGTGAGTCAGCTCTATGCAGATCATCTATGTTTCCTCTTCAGAGGTGAAGATTTCTGACTCAGTATTCTCTTCAGCTAATTTTACTTAATATTACTGGTAGGAACACTGAACTGTTCTATAAGCTTGTGTGGTATAAATTTTAGTAGCAAGCAAAGTGGATACCAGCCTGCAGGCCTCTTACACACTGACACTTATGTTTATGGTGCACACAGTCAGTGAGCCACATGTGTCCATTGCCCCAGAGAGAGGTTTCACTGTGATTCAGCAATAGCCAATCAGTGTATTTCTATTTTGTAAATAACTTTTAATATACTGTAGAAGCTTTCTTTGCTGAAGGCCAGTCTGCTTTTCCTGTGATAGATTTAAATAGGCTATAAAAGGATTCATAGGAAAATGACCCATTAATTTCATGCAATGATGCACTGTCAGAGCTGTATTAAGTTGTAGCTTATGCCAACTCAACAATTTCCTGCCACTTTCCTTCATAAGCATTCAAATTGAAAATCACAAGGTGGCTTATATTGTGAAACAGTCAGAATGCACTGTATTAGTCACAGCAGTCAGTGAGTACCAATTGCTTTTCCCATGTGTTTCTGACAACATAGTGGCTCAAGAAGTGTTTGTTGTATTATTAATCCATTAATGTTGCTACCGCCAGGAATCACTAATTTGATAGCCAAGTGATTACAGCACAAAGTTGATACACCCGGGGTTTGAATCCAGCCGTGGACTTATGTCCATGTCTGCCTCTGTCAGGATCAGGCAGAGGGACCCAATGTACAGACACACTCCGGGAGAGTAGCACAAAGAGTTTATTAACACAACAAAAAGGACAGGTTGCTAGCTGCAGGAGAGCTGGTTAGGAGAAGTGTAGCCAGACCCACACCGAGAGTGGAGGACTGGAAAGCCGGACCCACGAGGAGTGGTAAGTAGGACCCACCAAGCAGAGGGAACTGCAGATTGGCAGCCAGGAAGGAAGTGAGTGCGTTGAACCAGGAAGCAGGTGAATGCTACTCACTGGAGGTTGATGGGCTTAACAGCAGAGGTGGAGGTGAGTGCGCCGCACAGAGAAGTTGGGAGACGCCACTTACTGGAGGCACAGGTAAGTCAGCACACATTCACAGAAGAACACACAAAACGCCCTCACATGGGATCCATAAAGGCACAGGCCATAGTTTAAAAAAAACCCCCATTCTACAGGGTCCCCAAAACCTGAGGTCACAGTCCAAACAAAAGAAGAGGGGGACCACAAAGGTGGACACAACCAAAATCAACACCCCAAAGTCCAAACTTCATGGGGGTGCCCACAAAGCAAACAAAACAGGGCACCACCACCCAGGAGGCAACCCATGATAACCCAACATGACAGGATGGCTGGATGCTCCAACCGCAATAGGTGACCACTCCTGTGGACGGACCAGAGACCAGGCTAGGAATAAGAGAGGCCACTCGGGTGGGCGGCCTTGACGCCAGGCAGGAGAACAATGAGGACACTTGGAAGGATGGCCTTGGAACCAGGCAGGAAGTTAAGGAGGCAGCTTGGGAGGACAACCTCAGAGCGTGGCTGGACAGAGACCTGGGGAGATAGCCATTCGGGAAGACGTTCATGACATCGTACCGCCATAAGAGGTTGAGATGGAGCTGGCAGGAAGCAGACTGGTAGGGCCAGTGGAAAGCAGAAGGGCAGAGTCGAGTGAAGGCTGAGTAAACTGAGTAGCAGAGTCAGCTGAGAGTTGAATAGCAGGTCCAGGGAAGAGCTGACTAGCAGAGC